TAATGTTGGATATTATTATGATAAAGGAATTGGTGTTGAAAAGGATGAGTATAAGGCATTTAAATATTACCTACAATCTGCTGAGATGGGAGATGCTCTTGGATCAAATGATGTTGGGTATTGTTACAGTAAAGGAATTGGTGTAGAAAAGGATGAACATAAGGCATTTGAGTATTACCGACAATCTGCTGAAAGGGGAAATATCTTAGGGATAAATAATCTTGCCCAGTGTTATCGTGATGGAATTGGAACTGAAAAAGATTTATATAAGGCATTCCTTTATTACCAAAGATCTGCGGAAATGGGAAATTCTAGAGGAACATATAATATTGGATATTATTATCAAAATGGAATTGGAGTTGAAAAAGATGAATATAAGGCATTCATTTATTATAAAAAATCAGCAGAAATGGGGAACACTAATGGAATATTTGCACTTGGTAACTGTTATAAAGATGGAATTGGAGTTGAAAAAGATGAACATCAGGCATTTATTTTTTATCAAAAATCAGCAGAGATGGGAAATGCCCTTGGAGCAAACAATGTTGGATATTGTTATTATAAAGGAATTGGAATTGAAAAGGATGAACATAAGGCATTTAATTATTACCGACAATCTGCTGAAATTGGGAATATTTTTGGGATAAATAATCTTGCCGAATGTTATCGTGATGGAATTGGAACTGAAAAGGATGTACATAAGGCATTCTTTTATTACCAAAAATCAGCAGAGATGGGGAATGCCGAAGGGGCATATAATGTTGGCTATTTTTATCAAAATGGAATTGGAGTTGAAAAAAATGAACATAAAGCATTCATTTATTATCAAAAATCCGCTAATATGGGTTATTCTGACGGAAAACTTGCACTTGATACCTATTATCAAGATGGAATTTATAAAATCACTTCGCAACATGATTGCGATTAATGTAGTACTATTATATAAATTTAAATTATTCATTTACAAGTTATTCATTTACTATGTGATGCTATAATTATTTCAACCAGGTAGTTGAACCTCATTTGCCTTCTACCGTTATGGAATATTCCATTTGAACATTTATCAAAATGATTAATTATAAGATATATTATAGATTTTTAATAAAACATTTTCCACATATGTAATTAATTATTCTAAATGAATATGGTATTTCGAGTAATAACGCTCATAAGCATTATTTCGAAAACTGTACAACCTAAAAATAACATACATGGCTTTAAATTGACGTCCACGCGTGTCCTGAAATAACATGCACGCTTAGGTAAATCTAAATTAGTCAATCACATGACTTTTTGTGTCGGATGGTCAGCTTTCATCTCATATATGCTAGGATTCTATATTAATTAATTTAGTTATTATTGCAGTTTGCAAAAAGGTGTAACCCACGATTTTTATGAAAACGATAGTGTAAATCTATAAATTCCCTTAGAATCAGGAAAATCTGAGATTTTACATGGCATAATGGTCTGCAAAGGTCACACATTTTTGCAAACCACAATAACTCTGGTTAAAAATTGGGATATTATAATTCCTATATTCCTTCCAATAAAATTAATAATAAGGTCAAACTCATTATATGATGGTTCGCCACAAATAATGGATAGTTACTGGAATATTGATTCTCATCCCTATGTCCACAAACCTCTATTAAGGCTAATTTTTGTTACAATCTAGATACTATTACGAACGAAATTTTACACACGCTTTATAAATGAACGAAAATGCAATTTAGGTGCAAGAAAAATTAAGTTATTCACAGAGACGTGACGTGACGAGTTAGCAAAAAGTTTAGATTATAAATTTGGAGGGATTTAATAGTTTATTTTAATTTAACCTGAAGGTCTTAATTTCTAACAACGATGAAAAACCAATTTTAAGGAGCGCAAGAGGCTTTAATACTGAATTTTCTTATTTCATAGCCAAATACACTGAAGTGCTCAATGGTTAAAAGAATGGAATGGTTTTAAATAATTTTTATCTCATTATTCTATTATATGGAAAGACAAGTTTTGTTCTGCGATTTCATTATAAGAAGTGATTGCCACTAATTATTACGTTCTTCTTTTCTTTCCAACTTAAGCTCCTACGTGTAATGATTTCTCGGATTTTTATGTTTTCGCGTTTGTTTACTGAGGTTGTTTATCAAAATTCAGCTCACAAGCCTCACTTATAGCCAGTGTATAAAATTCAAATTTAAAATTATGTTCTCAAAAGAGCTTAATTTAATTTATTCATGTTCTCGAAAAATTTTTAATGTTCATTATAGTGCTTCTAAATGGTTGAGTTAATTCTGATAACCCGAATTAAAGACCCAATCCCGAGATCCTTTATGCTTACTCAAATCAAATTATAATTATCGTAGCATTACTTAGTGTTATAAAATAATTTTATAATAATAGAATTGGAAAATTTTTATGGCACTATAGTGCTATGGCGCTAGCGTATTAAACCATTTTAAATTTAAGGTCAGATGTAACATGTAGATTAGCTTTGTGTATTAAAGATAAAAAATTTTTTAAAAACTCCATTATACATGCATCTCAAAATTTTATCTATCAACCACCTTTGGGCTATAACCAAAAAAAAATTCCTTGCAAAATTTTACTACATACTAACGAAATTATCAATGTACAAACAGCAAATAAAGATATTTATTTTAAATTTTTCATTGGGACGAGTCAATGGAAATCAAGCAATTTTTTTTAGTAGAATTTTTTTTTAAAACTTTATTAAAAATACTTAATAAAAATTTAATCATTATAACTTTATAAAATTAATTTAAAAAATTTTTGTCAAATTTGATTAAGTTTTTGTTATTTATATCATGTTATATTTATCTTTAACAAATAACCGCAAGTTCAATTCAAAGAACAATTCATTAATACTACTAAATTTTAGTAAATAAAATATCAAAGTGGCAATAACTTCTAAACTGATTTAATCCTGACGAATTTCTGATCTATTATGTTTGCTCTATCACTTATTCTGCTCGTCTATTTATAATGCATGGTAAATAAAGAATAAAGTTCCTTTGAAACATATCAAACCCCTTGATTTGATTGGTTTACGACTTGATTTGAAACAACTCACATCTATGATAATAAATTAGATCAAATATAGTATAAGGAACACCTACTTTATATCAATTGGTTTATAAAATTAAATATTCATCGTTTACAATGGAACTGTCATTATTCAATGATAATGCTAAGTTTAAAATTTAAAACTTAATTAGCAACTATTAATAGTATACTAATTTTCTTCAATTTATTAAAGTCTGATAAATCTCATGATTAAATATACTCTATGGTAAGTACCATATAGAACATTATTTGGATGTAATTCTTGCGATTGTGGTATCTTTAAAACCGTGCTTATCTCCTTTTTTAAATTCTTTAGAAATCTCAATCGGGAACGAAATCGGGAACGAATAAACATTGTTTTAACAACGTCCCAATCGTCTTATATAAGTCAATGCTCTTGGACTTTCCTCATTGCCACCGTTACAGCATCTTTGAATTAAGTCAGCATACAATTTTGGTGTATTCTGTACAATTTCAGGTCTTTTTCTTGAACAAATTTGATACATTAAAAGCCATCATGTTCAATGTCACCAAAATGAGTTAATTTAGATGTGACTTCCCGCATAAGAATTCCGAAGATATATATATCAGCCGCTTTTGTATAAAGTTGATTATACCAATTCACAAGACCTCTAATGCAATATAAGTTAATATACCGAACACTCCATCATTGCCATCTTTGGTGAAGTCGCCAGGCCAAGATCACCAATTACGAATCGATGGTCCTCACCACAGCTTAGACTTCTATTTATATTCCTTGGCAAATCACATTTCTGCTATGTAAATCATGATGCACGAGTCCACTCATGAATCTGACAAATGTCAGTATAAAGAATCTCAAATTTGTCAATAAAATTGAATGTAGAAAATTTTTCTTCAAATATTTAGACAAGTCTTTATAGTCTGCTAATGTCATAAGCCTTTGATTTAGGATCACGAGTCATGCTATAGGTGTGTAAAGCGGCAAAGCGATCTGATCCTAGCTGTTAGACGTTTGATGAGATTTGAACTATCCAAAAATTAGAAAAAAAGGGTTATAAAATAGTATTAAAAAGGATTACTTAAATATAATATAACTTTAGTAAACCAGAAAAAAATAACGAATATGGATGTAATATTTAAGTTAACATTATGTTCAACTTAAATGCCACACAAATATTATATACGCACTTCTTTAAAAAGATCACTAGTAATATCTTCTTTTTTCAAATTCGACAAACTCTTCAAAGTGACGTCAACGTTCGGATATCTTTCCCAATCTTTCGGTGTTCCAATTTGTCTTCGGTCCGTCAACGTTCGGATATCTTTCCCAATCTTTCGGTGTTCCATTTTGTCTTCGGTCCGTCAACCCAATTTGTAGAAAACACATCACAAAATCCACCTTTAGTTATAAATTTAATATTAGTTAATACGGAGTAAGAAATCCACTCTAAGAAACTAAATTTTGTGGTAGCTGAAAGTTGTGTGTCTTGTATAAAGGTATCAACGATTTCGTTTTCGCTAGCCCACTTATTAAAATTAAAATTAAATTTTCGTGTTTACATGGTTCACACCATTAAAGTGAGCGACAATATCAATCAAACACATGCACATGTACTTATTTATAACTGAATTAGTAAAACAATAAACGTTTGTACGTACGTACTGTACGTACACATAATTATAACTTTATAAGAGTTACTATAAATACATAAAATTATAACTAAAGACTAATTAATGAAAAAAGATCGTTCGCCACTTTTACCCTCATAAAATTAAGAGGCGTAGTTCTTAAGTAACATACATAAATAAACTATTTTTTTTTATGTATAGCCGGAGTGAGATTTAGACTTGCATTAACTTAAAAAGTCAAATATATTAAAATTCTTCAAAAACTTTATTAATAAAACCTATAAACTTCGCCATTTTACATTCACCTAAGATAATCCAGATCCTATTCACAAATAATATAAGATCGCTTGCATAAATTAAAATATCTATCAACACTAGTTAAATACAAATGGACCTTTCACAGGAACTCGAAGCCTTGTCAATTGCAACCAAAGAAGAAAAGTATGATGAATTTCTAGACAAGCTAGGGACCTTACAACATGTCGAAAAAGAAGCGAAATTTAGAGATCTTTTAAATAAATTTAAACAATTTCCTACAAACTCAGGTATTATTAAATCTATTCACAATAACGAAAATTTGACGCAGTACCAAAAAGATGAATTTCTCGGAACAGCAATTATGAAACGAATCTATTTATTCGCAATGAGTAATGAACTTACACACATTCTCTTTGAGTCTATGAAACTTTCAAACAATAATACTCTTGGATCTGGCGTAGATGGCAAACAACTTGAACATGTTATGTGCGCAAATATCAATGCCGCCAATCGTTTCACCTGTAAGAACATTGGTGATAAACTTTGTAGTAACTGTCGAATTATCTTTTATTGCAGCAAAG